CTCAGACATTGTTTACCTACATGGCACAGAATTATCCTTTTCAGACTTTTCTTAAGGCTTACTCAAGTCAATCCCTCTAGGCTTGTAAAATGTTTTTTCTTGCTAGTCCTTGGCCTTCTTCCAAACTGTCAATAACTTTCTAGGAATGTGATGCCTGGGACTCAGGGCGGTTCTGCATGCTATGGATAGCCAATGATGGTAGGGGCAAGGAAAGGTCTTTGGCTAATGTTGTCATGAGAGCAAAAGGAAATGTTTCTCTGGGAAGTCTCAGGCTCTGACTCTACCAGATGATGGTCTGTAAAGACACAGGGAAGAGAGAAGTTGGGCAAGGCTAGCTCTAACCAAACCTGAGTACAGAAGTTGGGTTAACAGCAGTTTGCAATGTGTATTCCCCATGTCAGGTACTGTGGCAGGAGCAATGCCCCAGTTTACAATCACAGCATGGAAATTAATTACTTTCTTACCTATGGTAGCATACCCATACCACAGCTTTACCAGACATACTGAGTGGTCTATGAGGTGGGTCTGGCTGGTGGCCTTTGTTTCTCCACGTAACAGAAACTGAAGAGAGGAGAACTTCTCATGAGGCCTCAGAGGGGAAAGATCTAGGGCAGAGCCACTGCTACTCATGTCCCCCCTGCAAATTCTCTGCTCTTTCTGACTGCAGAGAAAAGGCTGTTGCTATAGAAACCAGTGGGGAAAATGTACATTATATCACGTTTTATATATTTTTCCAAGGAGACCCTTTAATCTGAGCCTGCCACCATGTATTTTTACAGAAACAATAATGCTAATAAAACCCCTAAACATAATAGTGATTTCAAATCAAATCAAATAATCATCACTTACTTTAAAAACACCTCTGCCTGTAACCTTCTACCCTAGCCAAGACACTGGTACAGGGCTAGCAAGGCAGCCCACAATATGGTACATGACAGGAGGGTAAATCTAAAGCAGCAAAAGGTGTGATGAGAGGTCGGGGGGTGAGTCCTACACAACGGTAAGTGGTGGTTAACATTTGAGGAAGGACAAAAAAGCTAAAGAAAATGTCTTCAGATTTGACTTGTATGTAGAGAAGGATGAAATAAGGGTGAAAGGTACATTTTGTAGCATACACTCTTGCCAACCTTTTCTCTTCTTTACCCACCCAACTTCCTATTGCCATCCTACCTTTGTGAGCCCCCTTCTGAAGCTCTTTTCGCTTCTGCTGCCCTTTTAAAAATTATGCCACCATTTCTTACTTGCCTTTGTGATAATAACAAGCCCTTCGGCCTCCCAGACAGTCAGACCTGTTGCACCCTGGGGTCTCAAGGAGACAATGCTCTTTGTGAGCCTGCACCATGAAAGCCTCTCTCTAGCATCAGGCTGGCCTGGTGGCAGCAGTCCTCCTGGGGATCCTTCAGAACAGAAGCCTAATTTAGTCCTCTGGATGTCAAAACAGGCTTTCTCTCTGCTCTTCCCACCCTCAATTTATTTTTTACTTAATTCACCATGACCACTATTTCCTTCCTGATTTGTACTGACCCTGTGGCTTAATTAGATTTTTGTCATTATTTATAGTAGCTCCTATAATGTGTTGACTTGTAATTTCTTCAGGACAAGGACTTTCTTGCTGTGTAGAGCAATGTACAAAATAAATCTCAGCCCTGTCTTGTTTCAGGGCTGTGATTGATCCTAAGTCAGGTATATGTCCCTGCTCGTTGTCCTGGAGGTAAGTACACAAAAAACATCAGCAAGGCTTTGTATCACTGATGCTAGGTTTTATATACTGCAATGTAGGACAAGGTAGCTGTTGGAATAAAACAACTTAATTACGCTAGGTAAGACCAAGTCAGGGTACACCTGCTCGCAGCATCTTTGCTGGACTGATCCCTTTCTCCAGACTTTCCCTTAGTCCAGTGCATTTTCATGACTTCTTGGGTTATGGTAAGTTCTGTGCAGGTCCCCTGAATCCCAAGGGGGAAAAAAAGGTTGTTTCTCTTTCCATTGCTTCCGAGGCCTGGCTGTAGGTCTGCTCTTTGCTCCTTTCAGAGTCTCACTGTTTCTGCACACACGTAATAGAGTTTCCCATAAAGCCCTTCTTTGCTCTGTCTTGCAGCCAGACACGTTCAACAGTTAGCAGTGAAGAAACAATTCCCTTTTCCTCTTCCTGCCTTACCTTATGCCCGCTGTGCACACGGGTAGCTTTGCTCTCTGTTTTCCAGTCCCAGCCTTTTTAACAGAACATAATGGCTACTAACTGTGACTAAACAACTGAGACACATACTGTCTGTTATAGGGACTGTAAGCACTTCTAGAGCCCAAATAATATATGAATATTAATAGAATGACTGTAATGATATAATAAAAGCAAAAAAAAAAATGTCCTCAGGAGCATGATAATCTAACTTCAAAAGCAATTACCATCAGTAACAAAATGCGAGAGAAGACTAGGATTACTTTAATAAGATTACCTGCTTATTGCCATTTGTTTCTGTGGGTGACTGTAATGCTGCTTCACCTTCACTCCCAGCCAGTTTCTCAGATGCTTCTCACCCTGAACATTGGCAGACCAAGCTGGACTGTGAAGCTGGGGCTCACTGGTCTTTCCATGGGATCCAGCATATCTCTGTGAGCACCTACTCCTTGGTCTTCAGCCTCCCCTACTCTTGTGCCCTTGCTGTCAACTGCAACATTGTTTTTCCATGCCTGTGGCTTCATATCCATGGTGGAAAAGGCAGGAATGGGAGGACATGGAAGGGTGAGGAAAGCTGGTGTCTTTGTGGAGATGGAAGGACAGTAGGGAAAATAATTGTAACGTCAGTGTTGTAAGACAAAGGCAGAGACTTGATGATTATGGAGGCTCTTTAAAAAATCAGCTTTATCCAGCAGGCGAGGGAGAGCGGACATAGGCTTAGTAATGCAGTAGACGGGCTACAGTGCAAGGAGTTCTCCTCTAGCTTCCTGGAGCCCCTTAATCCAACCAACAGCCAGTGCACATGCCCTTCTCACTCTGTCTTCAACCGCCTCCATGTCCCTGTGGCACATCAGTCCCAGAGCTTGATCACTGGTACATTCAGTAGTCATGCACTTGGATGGAGAGTCTGTAGGGAGGTAGACATGTGCTCAGGGGGACCAAGACTCATACAGTTGAGAGGTACAGATGGTGAGATGGAGAGACTGCTGAGAGCAATAGTGATGTCTCTGCAGAGACCACATTGAATTGCACCAGGGATGAGCACACCAGCTCTGTGCATGAAGGAGAGAGTGGTTATTTTCTCATGTTGAAGGCAGCATGGGGAAGAGTAACTGTCTGCTTCTGCTTGTGAGGAAATCTGTACATACAAGTTGATGTTCAGAGAGAGAGAGAGAGAAAGATATAGGTATAGACAGAATTCTGTTCCAAACAGACAAATGTGTAGCCCCTGGTGTCTGGAGGGCATAAAAGGCTCTTCCAGACCTTACTGGAGATCTCATCAGGGCTCTCAACCCACAACTCACTTGCCTAGCTGCACCTGCACAACAAAAAAATAGGACCTTCCTCATTTTTCTCGCAGAAAGTAAAAAAGGACCAGGACACAGCTAATAAATAAAACAGGTTTAATCATAAACCATGTAGATATTTATAGATAGGGAGGGGGGCATGGGCTGAAAGGTTCTGCCCTGGCAACAGGAATAAAGGAACAGTATATTTTACCAGTCAATATACAGTACCAATGAAGGGTGGAGCTGATAAATGAATATGGGATTTTGAGTCCCAGAGGCTAATTTTTACAGACAACTATCATTCTTGGTTTCCTGTCAAATTATAGCGTTAACTAGCTCACAGCTCTGCTCAGGACACAACAAGGCAGATACAGCCAAGAACAGAATTTGAGGGTGAGGGAGGGACAAGATATCTGAAGGTCATTCTGAGGTATATATAATGTATATCCTCTACTGTTGTGTACAGTCTTGGGGCCATGCTTTGCCCACAGTTATGCATGCACACATCTCATTCCAGTCAGTGAGAGTAGCAAGCTCACATCTGAGAGAATATATTTGGCTTTGAGGGCATACAGGAGCACATTGAACAACAAAGCCAGAAGCAGAACAGGGAGAGAGCTAAAGACAAGGAAGCCTGGACTGGGCTGAGAAAGGGAGGAAGTGAAGGGGTGGCCCCAGATTTATCTGGCCAGCCAGTTCAGCCCTGTTTGGAGAGCTAGCACAAAGCTTCTGTTCTGAAGGACTTCTGCAGTGCAAAGATTTCCATCAAGGCAACCTTCATCAGACAACAGGGAAAACCATGAACAAAGTGACTAGAGGCATGTTATCGGAAGAAATATGATGGAGCTGGCCCTACAACTGTTCAGTTCTTAATTTTGAAAGAAAACCCAGTCCTGCCTCTGAAGTGGTCTAAGCCAACATATGAATCTGGCCAGTTGCAGCTGATACAGGCAGAGGAAGGAACTATTGCTTCAGTGGCCAGCAAGGCAAAGAGTGGCATTTGTACTACGGTATTCAGAGTTGGTGTGGCTGCTTTGAGAAACAACATCACACCAGGCTTGCAAAGCAGTCAAATGTATTGGCTTTTTGCAGAACAATTTCACTTTCAATCAATGTACATATTGTATAGTTTTACAGATGAAAAACACCTTTCACTGCTAGAAAGTAGACACTGTTTTGATATCAAATGCACTTGCCACCAGATTTTGCTAAGAACCCACCCGCAGACAATAAAAAAACCAAATCCCAAATAAAATCTGTAATACAAAGCAACATTCAAGTTGATGTCAAATGATAATTGTCCCAGCAAACATAAAATCAAGATCTTCTTAATGCAGGTCCCCTCAGAAGTGAGTTAGAGTCATGCGTCCGTATACAGAGTCCGCTCCCAATCTGGGAAACCTCAGTAAGACTGTTGCCCTTTGTAATGCAAGTCCCATTTTTTAAAGGAGTGCTCCACCCATGCATGCACACATGCACACAGAGATACACACACGCATACATATAACCTCCTCTCTCTTAGCAAGAGCTGCATGCTGGGTAACTCTTAATGCCTTCTGTGCATTTTTGACCTACTTTCTTTGTAAGGATGAGGTTGAAATTTCTTTACTTCTCAGGTCTGTATTCTTTAAACAAAAAGGGGAATGAAGAGGAACTACATTACAAAGACAGAGAAATGCACTCGTATCTCAGGCATATGATTTTTCCCAGTCATTTACAAGGACGATGTTATTTACATTCGTGACTCAGCAGAATGTGCAGGAAGAGTTATCCTTTCTCCATGTTGGGTTTTCTCAATGAACCCTGTGAGCCCATTCTGTGCTTCCACAGACAGTTTTTCTTTAAGGCACTGCATGTGGATGGTGACTTCAGACAGAAGTGCAAGCCCCTTTCACTGGATTATGCATTTCTCCCTCTCCCTTGACTGACCTTCCCTGAGAACTTTCGATTTGATATACTTCAGGTCACTGTTGACGCTTGGCCGGCGAGCAAAGGGAGAGATCATGCCGTAGGCATCCATGTCCTTGACTCGGCGCATCCGGAAGGATTTCTGTTGGAAGGTGTCACCATACTGGATGGAGATTTTCCTGTGGAGGGCAGGGCTCATTTCATGAGGTAGCTTGGCCATGCTGAAGAGGACATAGAACATTTCATCCACATTGGTGTTCTTCTTGGCTGAAACTTCGAAGTAAGCGCAGTTTTCGTCACTGGAGACAAGGTTCTCACCTTCATCTGAGCGTACCTTGCGGAAGATTTCACTATGGTCATTTTTGTTGCCGCAGATCACCATGGGGAGGTCAGCTGATTCCTTGGTCTTGTTCTTCAGGCAGGATTTGACCTCAAGGATCTGTTTCTGGAGCCTCTTGACCTCATCAAAGGATTCTCTGTTGTCCAAGCTGAATACCAGGATGAAAACATCCCCTGCAATTAAAAAAGGAAAGGCTTGTCGGTTGCAACCTGTGTCAGAGGAGATAATTTTCAAAAAACAATAGGTTTATTTGCCATCTCTTCCCCATATTTTTTGTTTGGTCCTTTTGAATCTGTTCATTAAGCTGTATTTTAGTTCCAATTCTTCTAATTCAACTCCCCACTCCTTTCTGTAATGCTGTGGAAGAGACTTTTGGCTATGATGTTACTTCAGCTATATCCGATTGTGTATTCCTAGGTTGCACTGGACTTGCAAATGATTGCCCATTTGTACTCTCTTTTGTAAACACGTTTCTATCTCAGCTCTGCTGCATTGCTTATTTTTTTTTCTTCCTTTTGTTTGTATCTCTGAGTAAAAAGGAGCCTGTTCTGACACCAGGAAGAATGGAGAGCTAGTAGCCACTCAGCCTTGGCCTTTTGTTTATAGAAGAAGCAACACCTGAACTGAAGATTTACAGCTAGTCAGTCCCAAACACCTAAGCCAGGAATAAGAGGTTTCCCAATGTGCGGTGCTCTGCTGTCATTTCATTTGCTCAAAAGAAACAGACCATGGAAAAAAAGAAATACATAAATGACACAGATCCCCTGGCATTTCCTTTTGACATTTCCCGACTTACAATTCCTTTTGCAAATATAAAATAACGCAAATCATTGCCTGTTGAATGACATTCATGGGGAGCGTGCTAAGAGACCTTTCAGGGACGCTAGCCTGGTCAGATGTGAACGTCATGTTTCACTGGCTAGCTAGAAGAGTAGATAGCAAATCCAGGAAGTATGTTTGTTGTGAGCTGTGGCTGCATACATCTCCACTGTCACTTTCATGGTTAGAGAAAACATCTTAGCTCACAACGGGAACTGCTTGACAATGAGAACATACAAAATGAGCCCATCATTTTCCCTTTTTCCTCTTTAATTCATTTCATTAACCATAGACTAAGGAGAAAGGGTGAAAGTAGAACTGTCCTTTTACTGGTATATCAAATCAAGGGAATCGGGCTGGAAATTTTAGGAAAAAAATCTTTGAGATTTTCTTGGTTTGAATTCCCTTCCTGTGCATTTTACATTTGTTTTTCACAGCTTGTGTCTTATAATGGCGTGCTTGTTTTGTCCCTTGCTGCTCTTTATGCCCATGAGATTTTTTTCAGCCATTCATTTGTGACTGCAATAAAAAATATAGAGCAGGAACGTAGGAGGGAAATAAACTAGGGGGAAATCTCAATTTCAGACCTTCACCCAGCAGACTTCTCCTCTGTGGCTAATGCACTCCCTGTAGTGCCTGGAGCATCCCGGCCAGGAAATATCTCTCTAGAGAAGTGCATCTTGCAACAAAATCAAGCAGTCCCTTTAGCAACCTCCCAAGAAACAGCCATCTCCAGGCTACAGTTTTCAAGCTAATGTCTATCATTATGATCTTTCACCCACCGTTCCCCATCTGCAAACTTCCCTCCACTTCTCACCTGTCAGGATGGAAAGCCTCCTCATAGCAGGGAAAGGGTGATTCCCGGAGGTGTCCAGGATATCCAGCTGATACATGTCTCCCCGGATGTTGTAGACCTTGCGATGAAAATCCTCAATGGTGGGAGTGTACTGGTCCTCAAACCGGCCATTGAGAAAGCGTGAGACAATGGAGCTTTTCCCCACCCTGGAGGCTCCCAGCACGACCATGCGGTACGAGTTCTTGGCTGGCACATTCAGGGTGCAGTTTCCACCGGACATAGTCTTCATCATTGCTTGGTCCTGAAAGAGGAAATGGCAGAGTTGGAGGAAAGACCAGAAACTAGATGGAGGATAGCTCCTTACCACAAGCTTGTCAAAGAGTGCTCTGGAGCACAGTCCTTGTTAGTAGATCAATGCTTCATACAGAAAGCTTTTCACTGGAAATGCTTAATTTTTTCAGTTCTATTTCCAGGGAGTGGTGTTTTTTTTTTAATTTTTTTTTTCTTTTCTTTTAAAGTCATATAAAAATGAAGGCATTTACACTGAAAATAGCATGGTTTTGAATTATAAGTTACTATTTTGTTTAAACATTAAGGGCTAATTTTATCAGCTGTGCTTCAACTTTGACACCAGGTTCCTTCCCACCATCTGCGTCACTTAGACGTTACCAGATTTTTCAGTAGAGCTTGGTTCTCATTTAGATACATAAACACAGAGGTCAGATTTCCCAATATACTGCATCTGCTGCAGCTGCCATTAGGACCTAGACCGCTTCGTTTGGTTGCCTAAATAGGAGCTGCGCACAATACTCTTTTTGAAATCAACCAGAAGTCAGACAGAAACAAGAATCATGCTTGACATCAGTGGAAGCTAGACATCTCAGTAACTTTAAATAGCTGGTCCCATACAACATTCATTGCTGATGCAGGGAGTTTGAGCCACAAAACAGCATTGGCCGATGATAAATTCTAAGATCTGTGCCTTCAGTGACCTTTTAGAAACCAGATTTTAATCTTGCTGTTTGGACTGGTAGTGCGGGAACTCCCTACCAACAAACTATCAGCATTGCAGCAGGATGGCTGGCAATGGATGGAGCTGCAGAAATGTAGATTTCATAGGAGTTTCAGCCTTTATACATACACAGCTGTTGTGGGTGTCACAGTCTTTGCGGATGCAGGAGAAAAGATGAAGGACAGCCATCTTAAATAGCTATTAGACAAGAATTCCAACCCCTGACAACTAAAATGAGTCTCGAGACCTTGGAGATTGCATTTTGACATAGCACTTAGATGCAGAAAACTTTGATGGGGGAAAAAAAAGTGTTGCTCAGACATTTTTCATGTACCAGTTCAAATGAATTGTGTGCTGAAAGGACAAATATAACCCCTGTGTGGCAAAAGCTAACCGTTAGAGCAAAGAAGCACATTTTTGACAGAGTTTATTTTGGTTACTAGGATCTTATTTAAGAATAATCAAGTTCCCACTGTGCTGTTTATTTAACTTAGGTGTTGTTTATTTAATATTACAATGTAAGTACTTTATGTACTGAAAGATCATTTCTGTGTCCAGATCTGGATTCCTATCTTTCCATCGAGTGAATTTTATCTCCCAAGCTTTTATGTGGCTGACACTTATCTCAGTCAAAAGCTTAAAATCTTTTACTTTGTTTAACATGTGCTAAGCACCAAAGCAGCAGTGAAGATACGGTCATTGCTAAATAAAGAAGTCTCTGGAATTCTGATCCAGCATCATTAGAAACACTGTGCTACAGCCCAAGGCAACAGCAAAACACTACTATTTATTATTATTGCTATAATTTGCTTCACGCCAACAGCACATTCAGCCCTATCTAAAGCACGCAAGAAAATGCAATGCTTTCCTCAGCGTAGCTCACACTGAATTATATTCAGCAGGCAGGACAGCATAATATTAGAGCCAGACAGTAATCTCAGAACATAACTTTGGATGGGCACAGACATGCAGAGTTATGGTACTGTTGGGATTGCTGTGATGGGAATGACAGCAAGGAACACACCTGGTATTTGGACTGGACTCTGTGTTTTATTTAGAACGGGACCTATCTCCAACAGTGCAGAAACACCATATTCAATCTCTGAAACAACACTGCCATGTACACTATCTCTACCCTTTCCTATGTAGCCAGTCCAATACTGTCTTGCATCCATGGACAGACAAATGGTGACAGAGCTATTTGGGGGTGCTTCCTTTCACCCTCTCAGGCTTTATTTAGCTGGCAGAGAAAAGCAGTGAGATAGATTTTGTGAGAAAAACTACAAACTTCTCTACAGCCCAGGATCAGTATTTAGAAATGAGTCAGCTCTTCAGGCTGGCATGGACCAGTGTAGCTGCATGAGGGCAAGTGGACTGTGTGGTTCACACCTGCTGAAGATCAGTTTCGTAGAACGTGGTGCGGCAGCATCTGGGAGTGAGCACAGTTACGCTTTTTAAACACCTTACATATCTTGTAAAGAACACGCACGCTGGGGAACCTGATCCTGGCCAGCAGCTTTACAAGCCAAAATCCTACAAATTATGCTGCTGACTGGCAGGTAACCACCGAGCTGCTGCTGATTAGAGAAACTCCCATCACACAACAAAGGAGGTGGACTGTGTCACTGCAGCTGCTTGGAGGGTTAATTTTGCACCTTTAGTGCAAGAGACACTTCTGTCTCTTTGAAATTAATTCCACTGCTTTGGACCTCAGTTAATGCCACTGTACACTGAACAGCTTGAAGAAGGAATTGCCACCACAGCTCCCTACACACAGGGAAGAGTAAGGCACAAGGAAGCTGAGTGACCACCCAAGGTCCAACAAATGAGAAATGTGAACAGACTCTGGGACTCCTACCTTTCAAACTCTTTCTCCTTCCCACCTTTTCCTCACCTTTGCATCTCTGGTCATTAAATCACACTGCCTCCCACCCCCATCAAAGGCAAAATACTATGCACAAACACGTGCTTTGTCCCAAGGATGTCGATGCACTGAAGGGGAAGAAAGGGTGTGAGGACATGCAGATTTTAATGTATTATATAGTCACTTTAAGCTGTCCTTGTTCTACCTGTCAAGGCATTCAGTCAAGAGAACTCTTGTGGTTTCTTAACTGCATTTCATTTCACACGGAGTCAAAAGATGCTTTTCAGCACTTTGATTCATGGAGTTGCTACTCATCACCTCTGCTGCAAATCTGACTCAGAGCATGCTGTTGAAGCAGGAGCTTGTATTTGTGTTTTGTGCTCTCTCTTCTTATCCCCCCCCTCAAGTTTTTCTCCAGTTCAATACAATCTGCCTTCTTTCCTCCTCAGAAAAGGAATGAAACTTCAGCCTTCACACCCAGGGGTGGGGGGGGAGCACAAGGACTCATACATTGAAAAAGATTAAAGGCAGAAGAAAGGAAACAGAAAGAGACCACATGTTCATGTACTAAATAAAGCAAAATCAATCAGAAGAGAATGAGGAGACAAACAACCTCCAGCTGGCTTTAATCTACATCTTTTCCTTCCAGTTTATTAAATGCTTAAGCATAGATTAATTCCCAGTGGTACCTTCTGCTTTATGCACTGGCTTGATGCTAGAAACTTTACATCAGTATTTTGTATCGGTACAGCACATGGGTTTCAAAATGTCATAGAAAAGTAGGCAATGAGTGTCATCTCCATTTAATAAAGGGAAAGGCTCATACACCCAGAAAGAGCTGAAACGGCTGTCCAAAATCAACATTAAACCCCATTTCTTTTGACTCCCTGTGTTGTCTTCTACCTGCTAACCACCGCTGCTTGTTTCATAGGCAGACATTTGAGTGAATGACAATGCAGCTGCTTTTGCATGCTCTGAAGAGTGCTGGTCTGAATTCCAGTGAGGTGCTGACAAATTTGATCCTGAGCACCTGGAGAGAGATATCTAAGGAAGACATTCTTTGTTCAACCTGCCTAGAGCTTTCACACCTTAGGTTTCCATCCTCCCATCAGGGAGTATGCTCCATACCACTCCCTATCCATGAATAGACTTCTGAACTACCTCTCTTGCACTCCACAGTCTTCAGCTGCAGTTTGTGTCTCTATTTGCCATTCCAATGTAATTCACTGCATCCAGTTAAAAAGGACATAGGCAGACGCAAACTGTACCATGCATAACAGACCTGTCACTTGTTAATCACTACTAGTATCCCGTAATTTTCGTGCACACCACAATCACTCCTGTGGGATGTTTGTTTCCTACTTTCATGCACTCCACAGTCTTCAGCTGCAGTTTGTGTCTCTATTTGCCATTCCAATGTAATTCACTGCATCCAGTTAAAAAGGACATAGGCAGACGCAAACTGTACCATGCATAACAGACCTGTCACTTGTTAATCACTACTAGTATCCCGTAATTTTCGTGCACACCACAATCACTCCTGTGGGATGTTTGTTTCCTACTTTCATGCCAAACTCCGCTTTCTTAC